CTCAGAGTTGCTTTGATTTGCATTTCCCTACTTACTACTGACAATGAACACTTTCCAGTTAATTCTGACCCCTTGTTTTCCTCTCTCGAGAACTTTAGTCTCTGTTTAGGCCCCGGGTCCATATTTTTTTTTTTTTTACTTTCTGAAATATGAATTCATGAAGTTTGAATGTTTAACACGTTTATTGTTGGAATATACAAGTTTAAATTTAATTTTTAATTATAATATAAAGTATGCATATAATATAATACATAGAATAATATATTCTTGGGTTTAGGACTAATCACCAGGGGATTAGCCCTGGTACAAACTCATTCACCCTATTCTAGAAGTCATCGATTTCCACAACTCTTCATATATGAATTAGGCCTTTGAAATGATCCCATCCACTTTGGTATGTGAGGCTGTCATGTCAGATTAGAGAGCTTCTTTAGACAATCATATAGCCAAATACCACCTAGTAAAAATACCAACAGGCAAGAGGACACCTATTTTGAGTAGTTGGTCAAGGTTGTCCATTTGATTCATAAAACAAACATGCCCAGGACTAGGGAAGTCATGAATTTGACAAGACCACACAATTACCATTCTAATAAGTCTGCATAATTCCTTGCTACATTCTAAATATTTGTCTTTGTACCTTCAGGTAAGTGTATTTCTTACCTATTTTTAAGGGAAATTTTCTTTGCAAAACTCAGAGACCATTACAGAAACCACAGTCAGTCAAAGTACATGGTTCCAGGCCCTGTGTCAAAGGGTAGAATTACATCACAATGCTGACATATTAGATTCATGGGAAATGTGGGAGAAGAGGCTGTAATCAAGCTAGTTCAACATTGATTGTCTCCCAGTGACACAAAATTCACATATCTACTAGTTGTTAAGTCCATAAAGCTTGATATCCCAGCTGGTCTTCATTATATGTATATCACAGTAATAGGCTGCAATGCCTGTGAATGAATGAGCTTGCCAGTAAGGAAAGCAGGCAAAGAATAGAGCTTCATTATTCCATGTCTTTTAGATGAGCTACCACCAGAAACTGTGGATATCCTATCTCAAAAGATTTAGACTTAAATTGGTCCTTTGCACTTCAAGTTTCTAGGAAACCATTACTAAATGACTGATGAGAAAATTTAGTTACACATTTGCATACATTCACACACTCACACATGCAGGGGCCCATTTTGAAGGGCCAGCAGTGATGTAAAATATCTCAAATGTGTCTACTGAGATGGTTCAGGAGGCAAAGGGACTTGTTTCTAAGCATTTTCTGCAACAAACCTGAGTTCAATTACCAGGAATTGCATTATAGAAACAGAGAACAGTTGAGTCCCTCATTTTTTTTTTTGATTTCCATACATGCTTTCTGGCATGTATGCCACGCACCAACATAAAGAAATGAGTAAATTAATGAATACATATTAAGAAAATTAAAAGTATATCTAAATGATCACACATTATAAAATTGTTTTTCAAAGAATAAATGATTCCACATTGTTATTTCTTAAGTATTTAAATGCTTTGGATAGACAAAGAGATTTATAAGATTTGCTGAGTGCACTATTGTGAAGTATGATAATGCACACAGAATATCTTATCATCTGAGTCCTGGTATCTTTGGTGACAGTGATGTCTCTCAACATTCTTTTCAGTACCAAATACATGGTTTTAAAAAACAAAACCAAAGCCCTTTTGTCACTCTGTCCTATGTGGATGTTCTGAAGAGCAGGCAGCAGTTAGCTCCTTCAAGCTCTTCTCATATGGAAGTTGGTACCTTCACCTCATAGAAAATGAGACGGTCTAGGACATGACCTTCTTAGAGTGATAATGATGACAATGAGTATCACTTGTTCTTGAAGAATGATTGATTTATAACAAGGGACAAAAGATGAATTATGTATTGCTAAGGCAAAACAATGAATTTATGAAGAAAATCAAATTACAGGAAACCTTCCAAATATCAAAATTTCTATACAATCAATTTTCCCTTGGAACTCTGACAGTGTGCTACCTGCCATTTTCAGTTTGAATTCTTTTGCAGGGCCTGTGTGTAGGCGTGGACAGCATCTAGTAGCTGTGGAGTAAAAGGCAGAATGTGCTATATGTAAAATGCTTAGTTATATCTGGAATGTGCTATGTCCTCAGAAGGGGTAGGAAGGTTCTATTAAAAAGTGTTAAACCAGGTAAAGATTATGATAATGATTATAATGATAGTGGCGATGATAAAACTGAAGTTAAGAAAATAAAAACTACTGAGGAAGTCTATAAGTTCTACTCCAGGTTCAAAGCAGAAATGACTCAAAACCATCAACACTGTGATTAATAACTCAAGAAACTTTCAAGACACAAAGGGAAAAACCTCTCAAAATGCATAAATGACCTAATTCTGTTGACACTGAAGCAAATATGAAAGTATAGAATAAAGTTGCTTTCTTTCCAAAGAAGAAGACATGTGAACAATTATATGAAGGATTGGTCCTGGATGACTTACCAGGAATCTATTCAATATCTATGCTTCAGTTGTTAGGAGCTTTTGTAATTCAGGCTGAAAACATTGATTCCCAGAACCAATACTGTGGCATAAAACTTTCTGTAATGATGTTACAGGGATCCAACACCCACAACCTAATTCCATGTGCACCACACTCACAAGCATACATGCAAGCAAAGCACTTATACTCATAAGACAAAATAAATTAATATAAATATTTTGATAAGAAAATTGGTCAGGTAGAAATAGTCAGGCTTCCTTAATTTCTTCAGCAGTGGTTATCTGGTTGTCCTTTCTATAGTACAAAATGGGAGTATCACCTACCTATGTTTGATAAATGTCTAGAATTTACTGTCAAGAATGTGGTCTCTAAAATTCCTGCTTTGTTTTTAAAAGTGGAGGTCTACCATTTACCTTTTTTTGTTCACATATTTATAGAATGCTATTCATCACACAGTAATAGCTGTGGTCAGATATGGAGATATTGATAAATATACAAGGAAATAATGTCAGTATTTTAATAAAGTAAAAAATGGCACTTACAGAGCAACATGCAGTGGTACACTCATAGGTATAAGCGTGCCTCTGAGAAGAAAGTACCACAAATCTATTGTGAGTCATGCACTGCCCTCCAGATGTTAGGAATCACAGGCACAGGAGTTTCATTGCTCTCTTTCCCCCATCTTGCTTTTCTGTCATAACTAGCTTATTTTCTCTCATAAATATGGTTTTCATGGGTAAATGTGCAATAATTTATAGACAACTGATAGATCAGATAATTGGGGTATCAGGTCTTAGTGATTTGTTTAATTTCTGCTCTTTTATCTTGTATTCTCCAATACTGTTATAACATTTTTCATAAAACAGCTATTTGCTGTAAAATTGAAGCTCTTTTTTCAATTTTTTAAAATTTTACATACCAATCCCAGTTCCCCTCCCTCCCTTCCTCCTGCTCCCCCCAACCTTCCTCCCACCCCACCCTTATCTGCTCCTCAGAGAGGGTAAGTCCTCCCATACCAGACAACAATGTCTGTCCCATCACCAAGTCAGAACCAAGGCCCTTTCCACTGTATCTAGGCTGAGCAAGGTATCTCTCCATAGGAAATAGGCTCCAAAAAGCCAGTTCATGCACTGGCCCCTGACAATGACCCCATGAACTTCCCAAGCCATCCACTATCACCTGCATTCAGGTGGACCTAGTTAGGTCCTTTGCATGTTCCCCAACTGTCAGTCCAGAGTTGGTGAGCTCCCACTCACTCGGGTCAGCTGTGTTCCCATCATGATCTTGATCTCTTTGCTCATATTATCGCTCCTCCTCTTCATCCTGACTCCAGGAGCTTGGCCTGGTGGTTAGTTGTGGATCTCTGCATCTGCTTCCATCAGTTCCTGGATGAAGGTTCTATGATGACAATTACAGTAGTCCTCAATCTTTTTTACAGGGAAAGGCCGGTTCAGGAATCCTCTCCACTAATGCTTAGAGTTTTACCTAGGGTCATCCTTATATATTCCTGGGAATTTCCCTTGTGCCAGGTTTCTCAATAATCCCATAATGGCTCCCTCTTTTAAGGTATTTCTTTCCTTGCTCTCCCTTTCTGTCCTCCCAACTTGACCAGACCTTTCCCTCATATTCTCCTCCCCAATCCCCTTCTCTCCTTTCTTCCTTCCCACCTTCTCCTCCCTCCCATGCTCCCAATTTACTCAGAGGATCATGTCTATGTCCCCCTTCATAGGAGGATCCTCTTTGTTACCTATCTTCTCTGGGGTTGTGAACTGTAGTCTGGTTATGCTTTGCCTTCTATCTAATATCCACTTATGAGTGAATACATACCATATTTGTCTTTCTGGATATGGGTTACCTGAGGATGGTTTTTTCCTAATTCCGTCCATTTGCCTGGAGATTTCAAGATGCCTTTGTTTTGTTACAGCTGCTAGTTCTCCATTGTGTATATGTACCACATTTTCTTTATCCATTCTAAAATTGAAGCTCTTAAAATATTACAACAATCATTACTTTGTGGTTACTTATTCTATCATCAGTTTTCCATGTGTAATGTTCTGCAAGAGTAAGTATTAACTTGATCCTTCAATGCCTACATTGGTTACTAACACTTCAGTGGGCATCTCTCAGCCTTTCACTGACTACTCCATTCAGATATTATCTATAATTGTTTTCCTGATTCAGCATATATTTAACCATTTACTAAGTGACCCATTGTGACTAAAAATGTGTTGAATCCAAATGACAATGTTTAGAGTTGATACATTTCTAAGATAATTACCAAACCATTCACTGCAACAGAATTGGCAAAATGAAAGAATCAATTAGGGGCCAAAATTCAGAAAAACTTCAAAGTGATAGACTACATTAAGTCAGGATATGCAGCTCTGATCTTTCAGTAACTGTTTCAAAACAGGGAGAAAGTTCTTGGAAACTAGGACAATTTTTAAATGGTGTTTTATAATGGGCATTTGAGGCCATGGAGAATGTTTGATATTGAACAAACAGATCTTTTGTTTTTTAATTTTATTTTTATTTATGTTTTTCTTTTCTTAAGGATGCAGTTGCTCATAATTGACAGCAGTGATTAGTAACCATCATCAATACACTAAATGAATACTTTACTCACAATAAACATGTGTTTGATTGATGATTCAGAGTGAATAGTAACAAAAGATGCCTATATATCACACCATATTGTCCATGGTTATTTCCCTTTGCACAATTAAGATGGTTTCATTCTTATTTATTTTTTCATCTCATTTTCTTATGTACAAATATATATTGGTAGGTAAATATTCCTAAGTTACCTTATACGAAATCCAAATCATTTTATTCTCACAGTTTACTAACAATCTATTGTATGACTACAAAAAAGATCATTTACCCAGGTCTCTTTAGATGAAAACATAGTTTCTAGCTTTAAGATTTTACAAGGAATACATCACGACTTTACCATATTATATGTTTGTGTAAATCAACTTTCTACACATATGGGTGTGAAAATGCTGAGTCAAATATCCATATTTTTATATTCGATAAATATTGTTATATTTCCACTCTCCTTTCCAGAAGCTATTTCTAATGTAAATGTAAGACATTTAAAAAGCCATATTTAAATCTCAGCAAATAATGATGAAACTCCCACCTTCACATAAACTCTTTTTTAGAAGATTCTAGACATTCCATAACCAAAGAAGGTGGCTGTTCTGTAAGTTCATGCAACTTACGTTCTATCAGAACCAAAACAAAGACATTTGAGTGTTTGTCAGTCTTTCCCCAGATTCATCAGTCCATTTGTAACATCCTCCTGTGGGTTTTTCAATTTGTTGTTCTAAAACAGCTGCACCTAGGTATGATCCAATCTTACGTATACTGTATATGTCCCAAAATGCACATAGCCATAGTGGTTTAATTTATGTCTTGTCCAGATACTAACAATAATTTTAAACACTTTAATGAAACTTATGTTAATGTTCTCTCTGAATATATATTTTTTCAAGAAGAAATGAATTTTATGTTTTGAAGAGAAATCACGCAGTCAGTGATTGCACAGTCATCTCTCAACATCCTTTCTATTCACTTAAGAAACTTCAATACACCATGGTGAGAATAATGCCTAAATGAGAGTTCTGGACATTAACTAGGGTGCAAATCAAACTTGATAGTGGTACTTCATTGAATGTGAAGCAAGAGTCAGTATCTTTAGCTTTGTTGCACACCTTTGGAGCAGAGACCCAAGGAAAGGAAGAGAGCAGGGTAATCTTTGTGTGGGGACCCATTGTCCTTTCACACTTAGGGGAGGTTAGCCCATGTTCTGTCGGTTGCCATAGCCCCTAGGATGGGCATCCTTCCAGTCATCCCACTGCTGCATTCTGTGGCGGGCGTCTTCATCTTCCTCTTCTTCCTTTTGCTCCTGCTCCTTCTCTTCTTTCTGAGATGCTCTATGGGATTCAGGTGGTGATGCTTCCTTTTCGACTTCCTGACCTGATGGTAAATCCGTACATTTCTGATGCTGCTCATACCAGTCGTTCACCGTCATAGTCGCCATACTTGGGTACCCAGCTCCAAAGATTTGTGCTTGGGCAGCGCTCCGTGTGAGGATGAAAGGTCTTCTTGAAGGCCTCTTCTGAAAAGGCACGCGGGAAGCCGATGTCTCACCAGAGTAGTAGTCTCTTTCCCTCAAAATCTCTATCTCCTGGTCAATGCGATCCATCTCGTCCAAGCTGATGTTAATCCACCTGCGAAGCTGAAGGAGGTTATACTCTCGCACACACTCTTCGTCAGCCTGACCACTCTCCACTGCTGATTTCAGAGTGGACAGCTTTTGCTCCACCGCCTTATTTTGCTTGTACCTGTCGATTTTGGCCTGCCTCTGGGATGCCATGGCAAACAGGGTGGGTTCCAGGAACTCAGAAGTGGTTGGGTTGCATTCTGGTGAGCTGCTCTGTTCCCAGGGCAGCTCAAAATCGGCCACATGGTAGTTGTGGCTCTGGGTTAGGAAGTTCTTGAAGTGCTCTCGAGCCTCCAGCAGGTAGTCGAAACGGTCCTTGTTGCCCACCAGGTTCAGTGTGAGCGCGCCTTTCAGGGCTGGGAGCATCAGGTACTTGAGGTCAGGGGAAGCAATCTCCTCCCAATCTTCATTCTGGCTGAATGGATCGAGCTCTGATAACATGTCTGAGGCCTTCTCCAGGAGTTCCAAAGCCCTCCTCACCTTATCCTGCATTGGCTTGGAGCCTGTGGGTTGGGTTGAGGCTTCCACCTCCTCCAGAAGTTGCCTTCCAGTTTCCAGCAGGTCCGGGAGTCTCAGCTGCTGCAGCTCCTCTTCAGATGTTGTCATCTTGCCAGAGAGAGGAACCCGGGAACTGAACCAACAAATCTTATATTGAACTAGTTTGTTGGAAAATTACAAAATAAAAGATACAGAATATAAACAAAAGAATAAAAGAAAACACAGTACAGCATCTAAAAAAGAATACTGATGTTACTCGTAATGTTTAATGTTTTTCAGATTAAGACAATATAGATACATGAACATTTTCAATATTGAAGATTACGATAGAGAATTATTTCAGTATGCTATATTTCTACAGAAATTACATAGTGTTTTATAAACCACACACTACATATTTTTAGGGGAAAATATGTAACCAATATGAAATTAAGACAAAAATAAGGAGCAAAAGACCAAAACTGTGAGAAAAAATAAAGTTGTGAACATATTCCTTGAGGCTACATGTTTAAAGACTTGGCAGTGCATGAGACCTATGGGGAATTTCCAGATTCTTGTTTAAATAGACTCACCATAAGACAAAGGAACACAGAGGGGGAGGGTCACTCTATTCTTCTCCTCACACCCTCACAGTGGAAAAAACAGAGACTTAACTTTAGAATCTCCCCACCAGGTCCTAGAACCACCAACTTCACAAGATGGCAGAAACACTGAAAGTTGTGCTTCCCACGCCAGCAGTTATCCAGTGCAACTAATTTCAACAGGGTATTAGGAGTGTGAACACCAGGAGGACCCTTCACTGATTATTCAGACCACTCAGGGACATCCACTACACTTGAAAACCCATGAAAGCTTTAACATTAGAGATTTTCTTAGTCTTGCCAATTATAGAGCAACTGAAGGGAAAAATTATATTTATGCAAATATCCTACATACTTGATGATCAAGAATAAATATGACAGCACAAAGTCATCTGAGTAAATTTTACTGACAAATATGAACTATATACCTTTGTTAATGAACTTTTGTTCCTCTATATTTGTAAATAAAATAAATACAGTCTAATAATATTTATTTGAGCATTAGCATTCACAGCATGTGTAAGAAATGGTAGAGAAAGCTGACATGGGCAAGCATTCCTTATTTCTTTATAAGAAGCATGAATTTGATTCCCCCTACTTCAGCAATTACCTATTACATTTCATATTAAAATTAAAATTTAAAACTTCTGCTCTATTGAACACAGCAATTTTTTTCTTAGCCACCATTTTTCTTTTTATATCTTTTAAATAACCTTTATTTAGGCACCTTCATTTTGTTGAATGGCAGGTGGAACTGTGAGCATAGATGTCACTGATTTCTTACAGCTTACAGAATTCTGAAATGTGGGATAGGCATGAAGTCCTACCAGAACTACCTACTTCATTTTCAGTCACATTTTCAGTAGATTTATCTTGTGCAGAATCAGAAGATTTAAAGTTAGCTTTTATTTTCTCAACAAGCAGAGTTAGACTGGAAAGATCAGAAGATTTCTTGAATTACACATTATCCAAATAAACACTTACATACTCTGATTTATGTCGTAAGGAGTGTAGTAAAAGTCAGTTGTTTCGCTCACTCCAAGTCTGAAGATCAATTTTATTTCATTTTATTATTGTTACTTTTAATGTGATGAAGACTTCCAATGACCCTAATCACAAACCTCACAAGAGTCTTGACATAGTGGCTATTCTCAGTGTGAAAGTGCCATCTCATTTCATGGATGTTTGTAGGTGTAGTCACTTCATAAAGCTTTCATGTTGTGACATGAGGAAAGGAAATGCCTAATGACTTTTGGCAATAGCATTAGGAATGACTGACAAATTAACAAAGAAATTTATATGGGAACATGTCAATCTTCAGAACACAAGACTATTTTGAAAAATGGATATTAATATTACTGTATTTCGAAATATTATGCCAACATGAGAGCATCAGAAGTTTGTGGTACTTGTTCAAAGACTGATATTAAACAAATGAATTTGTTGTTTCAAACAAATATTTAAATAACTTGTCAACTTATTTCACAAGGCAATGAATTATAAATGACTGTTTTTCTTTTCTCATCACTATAGATTGGATCATTTAATGTCCACATACAAATTTATCTTTCATCTCTCAGTGAAATTTCAATTGACTTAAAAGAGTTCATAGTCATAAAACTGCAATCAACATTACATGTCCCATGAAAGAATACATAGAAAGAGATTTTCATTTCAGTGAATATAAAGACAGGCAACATGTCTTATTTATTTCTTAATCGGTGGTTTAGGAAATACGGACCCTTGCTAGTGTAAACATCATTGATAAGAATAAAAGTGTATTGCATACAATTCAGATACCGGAAATATTTAGAATATAAGTGGGAAAAGATGTGGTGTGTGTGTGTGTGTGTGTGTGTGTGTGTGTGTGTGTG